CTTTGTCAAATTCTCAGTAGCCCTTTGTCGTAATTGAAATCTCAGAACTGATTTTGTCCGCTAGTCAATAAGTTCTAAAGGAAAAGTCTTTTTCAAGGCAAAGAGTTCTTTAAACTCAAAAATGTAGATAATGATTATAATATTTAATGTAACGATATCAGTGTCCGTCTGTCATCACGTTGCTTATTTGTAGTGACGTCAGCGTCACTTGGCTGACGTCCAACTGTCTTGGACACACGTCAACATTAACGTTATTAAATTTTAATTTTCAACTTTGACGTTAAGTATGAAACTATAACTGTCAAACACCAAGCGGTCACCGGTGACCGCAACCTATTGTTCTATAATTGTGTCTACAAAACCGGTACTCGACGAGTTAATGATATTGTTTTCAAGCTATTGTTAAAGTGTCTAAGAATATTTTACATTTTTATTATAGATAAATTGCCAGGGTTTTCGTTTTCATTAGTATTAACATAACATCACGCTTTTTATCCCCGTAGGGTTAGGCCAAGGTGCACATTACGGCACTTAATGCCACTGTACTATGTAACAGCCACTTTTTACTATTTATGTTATGAGTCCCATGTAATAGGTGAGCCTATTGCCATATACCGGGCACAATTCCAGACTCTGTACTACTACTGAGATTTAAAAAAAACACAGCAATACTTTGTTTTACAACACACAGACACGGGAATTGAACCCGAGACCCCTTACAATTGTGCGAGTGTCAGCACTCGCACAATTGCGACCACTAGGCCACAGAGGCCGAGGAATTCATTAGTATTAAAGGAATAGAAATGTTGAGAGATTATAAAATTCACTTGTTTTTCTATGTCAACCTATTATTTAAAAATAAGGAAACTATACTAACCAATGTATATAATTATATTTATATGTTTTTAAGGATTTTCGAAAAAAATCTTAGATAAACGATTAGACGCAGTTACAAGAGGTACCTACTTAAGTGGCAAAGTACTTTTTACTTTATTTCTAACAGCATATAAACCAAATTTACTACAGCAAAAACAAATATATTTTAATAACTCAGTCTGCAAAGTTTGGAACAATGTGTGCCTAGCATAATTTGCGTGAATATGTTACAAAAATGTTGTTTATCAACGCATTCATTTTGTTGTGGTCGACCATTTTTCATAACTGTCACATTTATTTCTTTTCATGATCTATCTGGTAATATTATAATGCATATATCAAAACTAATTGGGGATTAATCTAAAATATGATATTTGTGTTGCAGAAAAGGTATTAGGTACTTGTTTTTAATTTTTTTTATTGTTTTATTCTACACTAGCTACTTCCGCGCGCTTTCGCACACTCTGCTCGGCTCTTATTGGTCGTAGCGTAATGTTTTATAGCCTATAGCCATCCTCGATAAATGTGCTATCCAACACAAAAATAATTATTCAAATCACACTTGTAGTTATGGAGATTAGCGCGTTCAAACAAACAAACAAAAAAACAAACTCTTCCGCTTTATATAATAGTATAAGATTTTATGTGATTTTCTCGTTCAGAACAATTCTAGTTAAGAATCCTGTAAGATCCAGAGAGGATGCAATTATAACGGTTTTCCTGTCAATTACGTGATCGTCGTAAAAATCTTGTGATATCTGAAAGTATAACTATTCAAACAAGAAAAAAAAATTGGAAATTGATTCACAAATGGCGGAGTAATCGGTGAACAAACAAAGATCGGATCATAGTACCTTTTCCTTTTGTTAAGTTGGTAAAAAATGTTGATATCTACCCAATATTTACATGAGTATTATGTTGAATTTAAACAATAGATAAGTTTTCTTCTGACTGCCATAGAAAGATAATATAAACGAGGCGTGTTAAACACGATGAACTTTATTTACTTGCTCTTCAAACAAGCGGTGAGATCGGCCTTTCTAGACATCTTCAGACCTCTGCTTATTAGGTTATCTAAACATTTGACTATTGCCATGCCTTTTACAGCTCACAGTCGTGCCGCTACCCTTGTAAGGCAACTGCTGCAGATAAGCATTTCTCACTATATTTGCATTCGAAGTATCGACACTGTATCTTAAGTTTATTCTATGTCTACTTTTTTTTGTTTGGAATAGTTTATTTGAGTCGTTAATGAAATTTTATTTAGTGTAGTCAACTTCTGGTATTTGTTCGTTGTAAAAGTTAATCTGTTACATACAGAGGTACGCATACAGCATTTTAGTAAGTAAACCACGATACCTGATTACGTATATGTCTCCCATTTACATATATTAGGTACCTACTAGATAATTTCATAATTTCATTTTTTCATATTTAAAAAAATTGTCCGTACTCGTAACCTAATCATGTACTTACGTCTCCAACGAGGTCGTATATCACGTAGGTATCTATGGTCGCAATCAGTTTGAGGTAGGGCCATCCAATAACGCGGCTAACCAGGTTTCGGCCTTCTTCGTCCAATTACATAAAATATCCGCTAGTGCTGTGCTCGACGGGAAAATGACCATATTTGGATGGCGCCCAACTCAGATTGTTTTTTGTACTACGACGGATTTTACGAATATACGTTCTTCGATGATAAATGTCACATATTTTTTACGGCCTCGTATTATTGAATGATACATCCCTTACCATTGTCTCTAAGGAGTAATATTTGGCAGGTTTTTGGGTATCTACAAAAGGGTGTAGGTATATGTAGGTGCTTTTGTATGAAGCCGAAGGGCATGTGGGTGTCATTGACTTTGGTCTTTCTGATTTTAAATATTACATAGGTGTTATAATAAATAAATTTTATTGAGATTACGCAATATTTCAATAAAAACACTTGTCAAAATTCTTATAAATCACGATATTTATTTAAACGCAACGTCATACAAAACGAACATAAGCAAAGAGAAAAAGAACAGCGCCTCTATTAGCAGACAACGAAAACTTCTTACAAACATAGACAACCTGACAATTTTTTAAACTTATTTTTCAATAAATTTAAACTCAAGTGATGGAATACAAATGACTTTTGAGACAAAAAAAAAAGATTAAGGATTTATTTATTTATTTATTTATTTATTTATCAATTGATCTATTGATCGATTGTATCAATTAACCTGTAGCAATAAATCATTTCGATTTTTGTTTATTTTACACACAATCCTAAAATTGTTGATAGAAAAATAAATTGTGTAATAGGCAAGCAATTACGTTCACACATTAATATTATTTCGACGTGTATTATAATCCGCGTCAAATTTTGCGTTAACATCGTAAATTCAGCAAATGCAAATCCGAAGCTTAAATGGAATTTGTACTAGATTGGATTTATCGATTCGGTTTGGGGTGGTTTGCTACGAAAATTGTTTTTTTACGAGCCCGTTGAGGCCTCGTCAATACTCTCGCTTCATCGAGCGTGTAGATAACATTTATGTACTTAATCCGCCATTACCCTTAACAGCTTAATTTCAAATAATGATACGATCAATGGCCAGCTTTATATTTAAACCAATCAAAAGGTCAACGTTGTGAAATCGAAATGTATCGATATGGCGTCTAAATTTAAGCACCTGTGTAATGTTGTGGTCGTGCCAATTGTATTAATTGATTGGCGTCTGAAACAGAGTTTGACAACTTCAATACATATTTGATCGAAAGGTAATGTAAATTAGAAAGGTTTTGATTTTCTTTTGTTTTTAGTTCTTTCCAATCTTCTTCGTTCTTTCTTTTATTTTACCTGAGCTACCCATCAAGAATTGATATTAAAATGCACTGGATTAATTACAAAATTATCTATATATATAAAAATGGAACCCGTTTCCCGTTGTTACGCCATAACTTGAGTACGGCTAGACCGATTTGGCTGATTTATTTTTTGTTGTGTTTGTTATTGTTAGGATAAGGTTCTTATGACAGAAAATGTCCTGAAAATCCTACGGGAACGGGAGAAAACGGGATTGCACGAACGAAGTCGCGGGCAGAAGCTAGTTTAATAATAACTTGGTCATTAAATTACAAAATGGTTCACAAAAGGCACACTGTTTGAAGAGTATAAGCTGAGCATTAAATACTGCGGTCATTTACTGGCGCAGTGGAAGGGCCAAATCAATTTATGGGGTCTACCCCATAAATTGATCTCGCATGAATTGTACCCATACGAAGGGTAACTAGAAACTCAATTATACATTTGGCGCGAGTTCCAACTTTGTACAAATTGCGTAAGGTTTTATATGGTATGCCTAAAGTAACAAGATCGACATGTGTCGGGATAATGGAATTAAATATATTTTGCTTAAATGTTATCGAGATGATCAAAACGATTTAAATTTTGGCAAGATTCTCTTAACTCTGCAAGTAAAATAATTTGGATTTCTTTCACAAACAGACTGTAGATACATGACACGTACATAAGTTTTGATACGATTTAAATTAATTCTATGTACTTTGGAACTTCAGCACTTAAACCTAGTAGCAATAGCTCCAGACAAATGAGGCAATTCAGAAACCATGTTAGGTCGAAATAACCCTCGAAATTGAATAAGATTTCTACATATGAAATGTTTACGTCGAAAACTTCTTGGCTCTGGAACTTTCTGGAAACTTGGAGGCCTCCTTAAGCCGAGAGAGTAATTTAATGATACACGGAATCCTCAACGTCTGTCCCAGTACCAAATTGATGTCACAAAACAGAATTTTCTTGCGGATTTACCAAGTTTTTTCATTGAAAGGACTTAATTAAATCTTTATATTGTTGGACCTACATAAATTAGTCTGTTTCAATAGAAAAGTTGTGTCATCTTGAGCAGTTAGAAGTGATTTGGAGTCCATCACAAGTTGTTTCGTCTTTTTTGTTGACGAAAGTAAGTGTCTCGTAAATGGCATTTGGGGGTTTCTAAAGAGCCTCTAGAGAATAAACGTTCTTAGACACATTAATGTCGGTATTACTCAAGATATCTCTCGATTAAAAGAGAATTATTTTTCAATAAGTCTGCGTTTGCAAAAATAATCAAACTCACCTGACTATTTGGGAAGGTGGCGAAGGCAGACTGTACTTTGTGAAGAGCATGGTCCTGTTGGTGGGCTGGTGGTGGTCTGCCTTTGGGGAAGTGGAACCTTGGGATGACTCGAGCTGGGGCTCCACTGCTGGCCGCCCCTCGCACACTGCGCTGTAGTGTCGTGTGAGGAGGTGCTGATGAAGGCTTCGGAGGTGTTGATGCTGCGTAACTCTGCGAATAAGAATGAAAATATTAGCATATTTGTGTTGAAAACAGAATAACGACAGATGTCGCATAGGTGGACGTATCTAACAGACAGCGTATACGACTCTATAGAGTCGAGAAAAAAAAAATAACCAGTTTGTTTTCTGATACATTTTGAAAAAAGAAAATAGCGTATGGGACCACGCGCGACAGTTTTTTTTATATAAATAATATAGGTAACTGGTCACTATGCTTGTACTCTACCAGGGCTACCCTTCAAAATAAATTAGTTTTCAACAACATGTTTCGTTTCACGTTTTCACGCATGTATGTGTGTAGTTGTTACGCCAAAAACGTATCCCTAACATTTTTCACTTTTACGATTTTTTGACGTTCGCATTTCTGCAAAGCCGTTTCAATCTGCGAACGTATGAAGTTATATATTGCGAAGTGAGTGAATCGCAATGTTTTTGATTTATTGCGTAGTGTATAGTTGATGTATTTCCCCAGCTAGCTTGTCAGCGAGCGATGAAATAGAAATACTTTGATAAATGTCTACCGCCGTAACGTTTGTTGTACATCCGCTGAGATGAGCGACAGAACATAGATACTTCTATTTGTGTGACTACAAAAATAAATTCATTTAGTTGAATCAACTGGTTTGTTGTGGCGAGATTAGACTTTGTGGTGTTTGATTTGATATAGACAGGTGGACTATGATATGGACAGATCTTTATATCAATTCAATCTAGGTATATTTTTTCAAAACTCTTGTTAACTCGTCGAGTACCGGTTTTGTAGACACAATTATAGAACAATAGGTTGCGGTCACCGGTGACTGCTTGGTGTTTGACAGTTTAATAAACAAAAAGTTATATAAATCACTTTTACTACAATCTTTCAACACTCTCTTTTACCATTATCGTACTCAGAATCATATACCCATCAGTCCTTAGCAATTGTTTATCGGAAAGTATTATTAAGAAATAGTTTAAGCAGGTAATCATTAAATGCTTATGAGTACGGTACTTAAACAGCTAGTCGAAAGCTTCAGAGATTTGCTTGCTTTTCATAAATTAAATAGATACTTAAAATAACCTCTAGGTACATGTTATTGTACACGAAAATAGCATATTCAAAGACTTACAAATGTTAGAAAATGTATAAAGTATAGTTAAGTATACAAAAACACATTTCGTTTAATATTGTTAAACGTTGTAAGAAAACATTGGAGTAAAATGAGTTAGTTTTTACAATATACTCTTTAATATAGAACTTCATAAAGACTGGCTTATAACTATTTTCTTTTATGAGTATGTGTGTTCATAAATACACGATAGTGTTCGTGATAAACCCGTGTAAGTACCTACGTAGGTAATATTCTACTCATCTAGTGTTTTTATCAACATTTTATATATTTTCTTTATTAAAAAGTAAGTATCTATTATTGTTTTATGTGTACCTCTGGCCTAAGTGTCTATCCCTTAATTAAAAGTCGCGGGTTACTCATTTTTGTTGGGGAGTGGGGGTGTGTGGGAGAGCCGTGCTTCGACTTCGAATGGGCCGGCTCGACCGGAGTGATAATACGGCCTCACAGAAACCTGACGTGAAGCAACTCTTGCATTGTGTGCAGAGGCCCAATTACCCCCTCCCCCTTTCCCTTCAATCTATCCCAATCTCCAAAATCCCCAAAAGGCCGGTAACGCACTTGTGACGCCTCTGGTGTTCCGGGTGTCAATGGATGACGCCGATTGTTAATCGTCGAGTGATCCGTCTGCTCGTTTACCGGCTTAGCCCATAAAAGCTTAAAACATAAAGCCTTAGCTTGAAAGTAGCCTAGAAAGAAAATCATAAGATCCCTGCCTAGACGAAGCCCGTCCAGTCAAATCCAGATCTGTCTCTTGTTTTAATTAGACGAAAATTTTCCTTCATTTCCCAACCAGACCAGCAAATTAAGCAATCAACAAATAGTGACAGCTTAGTTTGATAAAATATCTAAATCTTATGGTAATTTACAGTTAAAAAGGACTAGGAACTACTTTGATTTTTAAAACAATATTTCAGGAATATATTTATCCGGAAAGACATTCTGGTCCTTCTAAAACAATTAGGTATTGAAAAAATAACTGTCCGTATCAACGCCACATGTTTTTCATTAACCTAACCAGCCAGTCTGCTGTTCTAAATACAAAATTAACAAAACTATACCTAATAGGTGTGAAAATTGGCATAGGCAAGATGGCGCCCTTGCCAGAATATCGTCGTCGAAATTTTTAACAATAGCAAGACAAAGGTCGCTCTGGATAATGCCAGTTACCAAGAATAAGACTGAATAAATAAAATATTCGCAAAAAATATTCCTAAGGTCGCCGTATAATGGATCTCATTATTAAGATCCGTCTTTACACAAACGGGTCAAGTGCGAAGCTATTCAAGAAGTTAATTCTATTTTTATTTCTTTGCTAGATTAGTTTCCTGTTTATCTGTGGTGGGAAGCGATTCTGTTATTATCGAACCTTCGTGCTTTCCGCTAGAAGGACTTATAAAAAATATCTGGGATTGAGTAGCGAGAAAAGTAAATATTTTTTACATAATACAAATATTTCACTAAATAACATTGTTCGAATAGTTAATCCATTTTAAGTAAGAAACTGAAGTCCGAATTGTCTACTTAGGTAATCAAATTTCGATTGTTAAGATTTCTAAATTAGAATAGAAATCTTTGAAAAGTTGCAAAGGCTTCATAATAACAAGTTTGTTCAAGAAACCCCAAACAAGAGTTTTTGTTAGAAGCACATAATCACTAAAGCGACCACAGAACAGAAAATTATGTACCCATTACAGAAATTGTCGGGAACGCAAATTACTTTTGTAAAACATGAATTATTCTAGCTAGAATTCCTTCAGGCTGGCTGGGACAATGTCGGGAATAACTACAGTAGTAATTTTGTTTCGTTATTTACTCGGTAGGGCTATTCTTTAGAATTTTGCGCAAACCAAAACACATTCGTCATTGTCGTTTTGAAACCTGTGCAGAATGGGACTGCGGGTCACTAAGAATTAATTTCAACGTTAATTACAATGTTGGAGGGACAAAAAGCGACCGTAGACTTATTTTTTGTGTTGGCAAGCATGTGGGCGACACAGACGGCTCAATAACCGGCGCCGGCTTTTGTATACCTTCTACGTTATTCACGCCTAGCGATTGTTGCTGATGACAAGGGACTTTTTAAATTAGCTAAGAAATATATCAGGTCGTTCGGATCATAAGATGGACATAATGACAACTCTGTTCAAAATTATCAAACATAATGCTTCTTTTTCTGGTCTACCGAAAGTTGGAAAAAATCATAGTTTTATTCATTCCTAAGATACATAAGCACTGTTCAGACTATATACGAAAAGAGAACACTATAGTCAGAATTTTAATTAGATTCCAGATTTGACAATAGCTACTGTCATTTTGTGAAATAATGATACCACATATAATAGTTTAGTGATGAACACAAAAATCGATAAACAATCAGTGTGTGTGTTTTATAATAAATGTTACAGAAAGTGACAGGATAGCGATAGCGATGACGGCGACAATTTATAAAATAACTTGTTACCATAATACATCTATCTGTTTTATTTGTCATGTTCCTTCATGATTACATTTTTTATTTATTTTACACACAATTATAAAAGAAAAGTCTCAGATCATTAATTAATCGTCAAAATTAAATTATCGGTTCAAAAATATTTAATTTTCTGATATACTTAGTTTACGAGAGTAAAATTATAAACGAGAAGAATCGATCCAGAAATATTGCATTCCCATATCGAATAATTTCGCAACGTCACTATTTAGTACTTGTCATAACGTTGCAACCCTGAAATTGTCAAATCTGGAATCGAATTAAAATTCCGAGTATAGGACTATTAGATTGCCATCCTATAATACGTAAAATCTTTAAGAAACCTATAGTAGTGGCCGCAAATCTTAAAACCGAATAAATATCATACAGTTATATCTAACCGAATTTAGTAAGCACTAGCGCAGACAACTCCCCCATATCGCAGTTCCTAATAGGAGCCATCAAGCCATCATAAACTATCTGTCAACAACGCCTGCCTGGCCTCGGCTTCGAATAGACGACCCCATCGCTTCACATAGTTATTGTTTAAGGCCAACGATGTTCAGATGTTTACTCACACACTGTGAAGATCAAACAGTTTACTGGACTAGACTGACATGCCTTTGGAACATTTGGAAATGTCCTTAGAGCTGAAGGCTTAGTACGACCTTGTTTTACGTTTAACGAGAAACATTACCACGTTTGGTTCTCTGATTGGCTTGCTACAACGAATCAACCAATCACGCTGAACTCGGTAACGTTTCGATCTTGTACCTGAGCCCTCAGTGCTGTGTGGCAAGAAAGGTCATTGAATCAAGAATGAAGGGTAAGGATCAACTGATGTTTATCATTGCTTAACATAATAATTATAACGTAAACATAGGTAGGAAGGTTCAAAGTAGGAAGGAAACGAAAACAGAGCAAGTCTCCAAAAGAATATTATTACCAGAGTCATTTTTAAAAACATTGAAGTATTTGCAGTAAAGTATCTAAAAAAATCTAATGCTAAAAAGCTCAACACGTGTGCAGTACAGGTAGCTATTAACTACCTATATAAATTTCCAAGTAAACGCAATAAAAACATACAAATATTTGTTTTTTATACAGATTATTTGGGTCAGACTATCAGCCGGGAAGTCAAGGAAATCCTCTCAAATCCAGCTTTTCGTAGATAGATCTGATAAACGAATATAAACCTCTTTTTTTGGTTACTATCCAAGTATTTGGATTTGTAATCAATATTATTTCTCCAGAATTAGATGAAGAGGAACGATGGACTGGTAGATGTTATTTCCCTAGAGCAATTTTAGAAGTGAAATTTATTTTTATTTGTTGTTCTAAGATCTTTTTTTGTAATTTATTAATAAACTTGAAGAAGTGTGGGAGAGCCATGCTTCGGCACTAATG